CATCCCAGTAATTTCTTGTACCTTGTACTATATTCATCTATAAATAAAGAACTGGTCGACTGGCTAGTACAGTTCGACATTCTCTTCTTTTCTGTCATTCTCTTTTCTTCCTTGCTACTTCGAGTATAGCACTTCAGATTACAGTCATGACTCACTTGCAATTTGTAGATGACATAATTATCTACTGTGAGAACTATACAAATCTCAATTCAAGGAAATTCAGAGCCTTAAGCTGATCGCTTCCAAAGGATATCAAATTGAAGAGTCAACTGGGAAAAGAGTGGTGTGGCGGGGTTAACTTGGGAGAGGAAGATATTCTTTGGATAGCTGAAATCTTAGATTGTGAGGTGAAAACTGGCCCCTAGAGTATCTTGATTTGCCATTGGGAGGAAACCCAAGAGCAGATAGCTTCTGGAAAACAGTTGAAAGATTTGCAAAAAACTCATCTTTGTGGTAGAGAAGCTATCTTTTGGGAGGAAGAATCACTTTGATCAAATCCACCCTAGCAAATTTTCCCACTTACTACTTGTCCAGTGTCCATGTTTAGGATCTCAACAAAAAATAGACAATTACCTAGAAAAATTGATGAGGGACTTCTTGTGGGAACCGGCAGAAGAAAAGAAAGACCATTTGGTAAAGTGGGAACAAGTGTTTAAATCAAAAGAGCAAGGAGGGTTAGGTATTGGGAATTTGATTGCAAAAATTACAGCTCTTCTAGGAAAATGGCTTTGGAGATTCCCCTTAGAAGGAGATAGACTGTGGCACAAGGTTATTAAAAGCATTAATGGTGTAGCGGACAATGGCTGGGATGCAAAACTAGCACCTCATTCTAAACTACTTTCGTTTTGATGTGGGTTCTGGGAATAGAGTCTTATTTTGGGAAGACCTCTGGCTTGGGGACCTACCACTTAAGTTGCAATTCCCAACACTCGTTATCAAATCATAAGACTGAACATGTTTCAATTTTTGGCTTGCCCTCAAAACACGGGTTAAACTGGGACTTTGGTTTCAGAAGGAGGTTAAGGGATTTTGAATGTGGAACGCTTATTCTCCTAATCTCTTTTTTGGAAAAAAGTTTAGTTGGACCAAAATCTTTTGGATAGCAGAATTTGGTACCCCTCACCTCATGGTCCTATGGGGAAGACACTCCCTATGAGAGAAATTTGGTGTAAACCAACCCTCCTACAGTGTAGGCTCTTTGTTGGGAGATGTTCCTTGGAAAGATTAAGACTTGTAACATGCTAAAGAAAAGAAAGCCAAGTTACTTGCCTCTCTCCTCATACGTGTTTCTTTAGTAAGGCTAGTAGTGAGACCCTTCCTCATTTACTAATCTCTTGCTCTTTTGGGACTTGCATTCGTAAATACTTTCGTCCTCTCTTTGGTTGCAGATGGGTTCCCCCATAGGATGTGGTTAGTTTGTTCGACTCCAACTTCTGAGGCAACAGAAAAAAGGGGAAGATGTTTGTGGAGGATAACAAGAGCAGCTTTGGTGTGGAATATTTAGGAATAAAGAAACCAAAGGATCTTCAATGAGAAGAACAAGTCAAAGGAAAAAGTGATCAAAACCATTTAAGTAAGAGCTGCACATTGGGCAAAAACATTAGAACTTTTCAGAAATTTCTCTACAAATGACTTGTTATGGAAATGATTTGAAGTGATACAAACAAACACACAAGGAAGTCATGAGAATGAAATGGATACCTCCAAGGTTCAAAGTATTGACACGTATCGTCCCATATCGGCCAATACATATCGTTCTGTGACCCCTCCGATATGCCCCTACAATGGGTGTATCGAAGGTCTGACCGGTTCAGGGGGTAGAGGAGACCTAAACCGGCCACCCTGAACCGGTTGAAAAAAAAATAAAAAAAGGGCCTGAAACACTGTATCGATTCGCCCGATACGCCAGTATATTGATATTTTGAACCTTGGATACCTCTAAAGTCGACAAACTAAAACTAAACTTTGATGGCAACTCCTTTGGCAATCTGGGGAGGGCAGGGTAGTCTTTAGAAACCATAAAGAAGTTTTAGTGGCTTTGTTCTTTGGGATTGGGACCAATTGGATTCAGAGACTTGGTTAAGGCTGAGATAATGGCTCTTCTACAAGGATTAGAACAAGCAGTACAACTACGAATTAGAGAACTGGAAGTAGGAGAGTCCAATGATTTAAAAGGCACGCCTAGGCGCATAAGCAAGGTGCATTTTAGGGTAGGCGCCTCGCCCAGGTCCTAGGCACAACCCATTCAAAAGGCGCACGCCTAGTGCGCCTAGGCGTGCACCTGGTGCACCTTGCACCATAGCCCAAGCGTGCGCCTTTTGATAATTTCCCACTTTTTCCTTTTTTCTGAGTCTGGCGGCTGGGCCGGGGGCTCCGCCCCCAGGCCCCCATGCCATGCCCCTTGAGCTAGCCCAAACAAGTCCATGTTAGGGTCTTAAATTCTTAGTTCACTGTTGTGCATTCATTCATCCTCATAAAATATCTTCTTAAAAGCAATTAAAACTATAAAATTATTATCTTTTTTGTGTGAAAACTAAGAATTTAAGGCCCTAACATGAATTTGTTTGGGCTTGCCTCGAGGGGCGTGGCACAAAGGCGGCTCGTAGAATTAGGAATGTAATATGTCACATTACCTACTTGATGCAATTGAGAAAAAAAAAGAGATTGTGGGTTTTATATGCTTGAAAATGTTTTATATGTTTGATTTCATTTTTAAATTCTCAATTGAATATGCTTTACATATTATATTTATGTATTTTAATTTTAGATACTAGGTTTTTTAGAACATTTATTTTAAAACTTAAGTGTATATTTTTATTAATATTATGTTTTATAATTTTTTTGATTTTTTTGCTTTTTTTATTTTTTTGAATTTTTAGCTTTTTTTTTAATTGTGCGCCTTGCCTCAAAAAGGCGTGCGCCTTGCCTTGCGCCTCAGGCGCAAAATGGCCCTTGCGCTTTTAACACATTGGGAGAGTCCTTATTGGTTATTTCTTGGGCTAAGAAAACCAATTCAGCCCTTTGGAAATACAGATCTATGTCTAGGGAAATTGACTTTATTGGAAAGAGTTTGAACAATAGTTTTGGCTGGATTAAAAGGGCAACAAATGGGGTGAAGGATGTCCAAGCAAAACAGGGAGATGATAGATCAACTTTATTTTGGGCAATGTTGAAATCTGTTAGTGGTAAAACAGGGAACTATCAAATCTAAGCATTGGGGGCAAGCAGTATTCTGATAAATTTGGGCTACTGAGTAGCTAAAACACTTGTATCTAATCTCAGAGTTCAATAAAGAAATTTTTTCTTGCTGATAAAAAAAATCATAGTCAGCAAAACTAAAATCTAAACAGAATGCTTTTCCAAAAGTACAATCTGGCAAAAATAGTTGATGCACTTTTTATTAATACTCACTTGAAGTGGGGCCACTTTAAACACCCTTCAGTTTTCAAAGTAGGCATTATTTGACAATAAAAAAAGCCTGTAAAGTTCAATGCATATGCAGCCACTTTGCCTAGTAGAGCCAAAACATTTGCTGCTTTGCTGAAAAAAAAATCCAGGTTATTTGAAGTCAGATTATGTTACTAAAACAGAACTTCAACAAAATATAAGAAATCCAAAGAGAAAATATAAAAGTCATCCACCTCCTAGAATGTTTATTCAGATCCCAATGAAGGAACTTTAAGCGACTATCCTCTGATAGATCTTTATTAATAAAATCAATTGCATTAGCAAATTCGGCCCGGAGTATAGATTCCCGGGGCTTCTTCTCATGTGTCTGTCCACAGCCAACCATATATTAATAAAAATAAATGAAAGAAAGGATAAATATAGTGGAGAAACTTCTATTATTGAAGCTTTGTAAATGATTACAGATTACATTCCAGTCAGTAATGAATATAAAGGAACTTACCTTAATCAAATTCAAAATGATTATTGGGTTTCCATATCTCTTAACAAGATTCTCAAAATGAAGTCTGGTAGCTTCATAATTTTGGTCCTTCCTTGACACTGAATGAGAATGAGATGCAAGTTATAAGATAATATAGCTTATGTACATTTCTTTAAATTACCTATAAAATTCATTTATTTTCAATTTCAACAAGCTTGACACATACAAATAATGTCAGGTTTAATGTTCAAGCGGGATGTTTCTTGGGACCAGAAAAGGGGTATTGAGCCTCGGTTCTGCACAACAGAACTTATTTGCGTTGAAGATCCTTCAGGAACATCTTCACAAACAATTTGTTCTGTCTCAACATCATTAGCTACTCTACCTTTCTCATTTACACCTCGTTTCAGATACCTACAACAAGAGTAAAAAGCATGTCGAGTTTCAAAATCAATAGCATGTAGAAAAAACTAAGGATATTATTGGGAAAAAGGGTTATTTAAAATTCCTAATCAAACTCCACATGCAGGGATGTGGTTTTATAAACCCAACATTTTTAGGGCACATATGTGAGATAGTGAACCACGATCAAATGATTTCTGTATATTCAGGAAGAAATGGCTATTGTAGAATGCTTTATAGAAGGCAAAAAAAGGAAGTATTGAAGCATGAAGATTAGGCATCAGAAGTCCTCATTTTCCTAAAACTAGCCCTGAATTCAAATAGGATGACATATGCGAACACTAAAATTTTGGTCTTACCTTATAACAGTACAAGGCTATATGTATCATGTTACAAGAATTAAGGACTATAATTCTTATACCAGAACAAATACATAAATGAATTAACCACCATATTAACAAATTATGATAAGACAAAAAAATTGCCTCAATTAAAAATTACCCTTTGGTTTATTTAAATATTGAAAAGCTATAATGCTTAGTCATCATAAATTAATAACAAGAGCCATGGAAGAAGTGGACCTCAATCCGAATACCAACAGCAAAGGAGTTATTAAAAACAGTTGCAGTCTTAGAAACCTCTTGATGCACATTAGGCATGGTATTTATTTATAACCAAAATCCAGTCATAGAAACCTCCTCAGAAATTAGCAAATATCTTCATACAACACATCTCTCTAAATGCTAAATGTGATCAGGCTATAGGTAAAAATAGACCAAAAAAGGCAAAAAGGAAGAAAAGTGGATTTGGGTTATCGCTTGAAAATAGAAATCAATGAAATGGAAAGCTAAGTACTGCTGTGGAGAGCAAAGCTCTCTCAGAGTGGTCAGCTGCAGTGGTTCTTAGATCAGAACATGGTGAGGATAGTTGCTACGTCATCTCTGGAATTAATGCAAAACCAAAATAAATGCCAAGAGGAGGTGGAGATGGAGAGGTGGAAAGAGCAACATCATTAGGAGAGGTGGAGATGTAGAGATTGGGTCATGAAGGTCTGAAGATGGTATCGGGATGGCTCATTCTAAAGCAGTAGGTCGGGTGTCCAATTTCTATTCACAAAACAGTAGATGCGAAGGGTGGGTTGAATGCAGTGTCTAGACAAAATGTCCAGGCCCAAGAAGGATTGCAGGGAGCTGTTCACCATGAAAGAGGCAATAAGCTGATAACTAGGGAGGTTGGCTTTTTTGAGGAAGGTGGGGATTTAGAAATAAATATTGGAAAGGGCAAATTTCAGGGGGTTGGTTGTCAAAGTGGTTCGATGAAGGAGCGGTTGATAGAAGATGGTGTAAAAGGGGTTGATCATTAGGGGATGGAAAGGTCTAAGCAAAGCAAGATCTCAATAATTTTAAGGGAAAGAGGGGGGAGAAGGGGTGAAGAGGGACGTTCAGGAGGACTGGATGAGATTGGTTCTGCTAAAAATCAAAAGGAAATTAGGCAGGCAATAACAAGGATGGGAGAACCTAAGAAGGATGGAGAAATTGAGGAGTTGAACATGGTTAATAGGGTGGATGAGAAAGGCCGTTAGTGTGGTAAGGAGGATCAGGGGCACAAAAAGAGGTTGAACTTTAGAACAAAACCTTTAATTGAAGACAGAGATAATGAAGAAGATTAAGGAAGAGGAAGTTGATCAACCAGATTTGGTTGTTGTTGACGAAACACATTCAGTTGGAAGAGAGGCTGATTTGAAGAAAATTGTGAATAAAGTGGCGGAGGTAAGTAAAATATTGGGATTTTTTTTGGTGAAGAGTTTGAAAGGAAGGTGTTAACAGAAGTGTAGGATAATCTGGCTCCCGAAGAAAAGGGTTTTAATTTAGGTGTTGCTTAAGCTTTCGGCAATACGAGTGCAACTGGAATCATTGGTCTGACTGGTAGAGTGTGGAGAGGGGGTTGAATTCGAGACTTTTAAGAAAAAAGTGGTTTTGGAGTTTGAGACTTTCAATGGTGGGTGATCTAGAAAATTATTCTTGTTTCAGTGCTTTGAAAACTGATTTGCCTGCATTTGAGAATGGAAACAGTGAAATGGCTAAGGAAAATGTAGAAGGTTTGAGGCCCTTGGATCATGGGATTATGTGCGAGGCAGAAATGATTGGCTCAGCTTCTGTTACACAAGTTTTTGTAAGAAAGTTGGGGTGGACATAGGAAGGAAAAGGTATGTAATTTCACTGGAAGATCCTAGTACTGATGGTTTCACTGTAGGGGATTGAAAAAATCAAAAGGATCTTGCAATTGTCAGTTGGTTCATGTCAGCAAAGTTTTCCATCATTTGAAGGAAGATCTTGTTGGGGATGGTCCTTGTAGTAGATTCAAGAGAATATATAAGATGAAGGGGATGAAAATCAAATCAAGATTACAGCATTTAACAAAGACCAGTTGTGAATCGAATCCTTTGGAAGAAGCTTTGGACATGGAGGCTTTGGAACCTATTTCTAGTAGTCAAAAAATAAGTTTTTCCATGGGAAAAGTAGATGCAGGATAAGCTCAATTTAGCTGAAGAGAATGCAGAAGGGGTGGCGAATGTTGAGGAGGTGAATATTGATAGAGTGAGGAAAGGTGAAAGAAATTTAAACTTGGAAAAGGTTCTCTTTTGAAGAATAAAAAGCAAATTCAATAAATTGAAAAAGATGCAGTACATCTCAAAATACTGGTTGTCTAGATGACAAACCATCTGCTTAACAGAATTACACTGAAAATGAATCAAAATTACATGGATTCAAATCCAAAGTATTCCAGAAGTTCTCTAACAGATCTTCCTTGTGTATTGGTCAAACTCTGGAAGACTTGGGGCCCAGGCAGAAGTCATATTGCCCACTCCTGCTATCAGATATTCTATATTTTTTTACTTGTGTCTTCAAATACCCTTCTGTTCCTTTCTTTCCAAATGGCCCAACACACTGCAAATGGAATACAGCTCCACAAAATTTTCTGCAGACATTGCTGAATGAAAAGCAGCCACTCCGAACAGATGAGAGAAAAACTTCCACATAAAGTTTGCCACATTGCATGAAAAGAATAAGTGGAGAACTGTTTCCTAACAACTTGCAAGCTGCAAGCCTCTGGATTTCAGATGATCGCTAGTTAAGATACTATCATGTGCCACCAGCCACACAAAAGCCTCTACCCTTGGGGGAACAGGATTGCCCCACACACCCCTTCATCCGATCTGAATCCCTACCATCTCTCAGCAGAGCCTTGTAAAAGGATTTAACTGAAAATCATCCTTCTTTGCAATCTTTCCACCATAAACCATCTGATGTATCTCTGGAAATGTTAGCCTCTTCCAATTTCTCCAATAGCTGAATGCATTTTTCCACTTCTTGGTCCAATAAAGGTCTTCTAAACTTTGGACTCCAGACCACTTTCTCCCCCCTCCACTCATAACACTGCTCAATAGGTACATGCTGATCTGTCAATTTATAAAGTCTAGGACATACCTCACATAATCTTCCCACCTCCAACCACTCATCTTCCCAAAACCTTACCCTAAAGCCTTCCTCCACTTTAAACTTAGCTAAGCTTCTGAAATTATGATTGAAGCTCATGATTCCCTTCCATACACTCACCCCATAGGAACTTCTTACCACCCTAGATTCCCACCCGAACCTCATCACCCCATAGGAGCTCTTGCCCAAACCTCCATAGCTATTTCTCTAATTGTCTAACAGAGCTTTATTAAATAGCTTTACCCTCCTTAGCCCTAAGCCTCCCCCCTCCTTTGATCTACACACCTTCTCCCACTTAACCAGGTGGACTTTTTTAGTCCCCCCCACCCCTTCCCATAGAAAGTCCCACTGAATTTTTTCCACCCTTGCAGCAACTTCTATGGGGACTTTCAAGAGGGAAAGGTAATATGTTGGTAGGCTTGACAGAACACTCTTGATGAGTGTGATTCTCCCACCCAAAGATAGGTACTTGGCTTTCCATCTGTTTAACCTCCTCTCCACCTAATAAAGGTTTCCATATACTACTTGATAATGCCCTTGCTCCCAACGGTAACCCAAGATAAACGAAAGGCAGCTCCCCTACCTTACATCCCAGCACCTCTGAATACTGTCTCACCACCTCAGCTCTGAAGTCCCCAATTCCTATCAAAAAGCACTTCTCTAAGTTCACCTTTAGGTCAGTCAACATCTCAAAATTGGCTACGATAGCTCTTAGGTTCAGGACTTGAATTGCTGAAGCGTCTAGGAAAATTAGGGTATCAACTTATTGTAGATGATTGATACTCAGACCTTCATTTCCAACATTGAATCCTTCTATCCATCCCCTTTGCACTCCTTTCTTCATGATCAAGTTAAGTGCCTCCATGACTATGACAAACAGGAAAGGGGAGAGTGGATCCCCTTGCCTCAGCCCTCTAGAGGCTTGAAATAATTCCGATGACACACCATTAATTAACAATGAGAAGGAGGTTCAAGAAATGCACCCATTAATCCAACCCATCCAGACCTCCTCAAACCCCATCAACCTTCGCATTTCCTCCAAGAATCCCCATTCAACATGGTCATAAGCCTTTTCTATGTCTAGCTTACAAACCAAGCCTGGTCTTCCACTTCTTAACCTTGAGTCTATACATCCACTAGCCACCAAGACCCCATCCAGAATCTACCTTCTACAAAGGACACCTGAGTCTCCCCTATCACCTCCTGAATCACTTTTCTCAGCCTACCTGCCAGTACTTTTGCCAATAGTTTGTAGGGGCTGCTCAACAAACTAATTGGCCTGAATTCTGTTATGTTCACTGCACCGCTTTTCTTCTGTATTAAAGAACTGAATGTCACATTCACCCTCCTGTCTAGATTCTGTTGTGGAAGCTGAAGTACAAGTTAGCGAGATTTTAGAGTTATCTTTTATGGGAAGGGGAGAAATTGTGAGAAAAATTTTACAGAAATTAGAAGAAAAATCCTTTGAACAAATAAAGCTTCAAGGGGCAAAGGTGATTGGTGAAGGATGTTAGTTTCATTGCTGGTTTGGGATTCTAATAAAGATTTTGACTGGGTGTCAATGTATTGGTATTTATAGTGCCTTGTTTTTTTGTTTGTAAGGGTTGGGAAAGCAATTTGTGATTGAAAAATTTGAAGGGTTCGGGTGGGGTGCTTTTGAGTTTGTTTCTTTCGGGTGATAATATTATCACCTGGGTGTAAGTGTTTTTCCTTCTTCTCTAATAAAATTTTCTTTTGCATTTACCTTCAAATAAAGGTGGTTTTGGAGTTGGACAGTATTACTGATAATTCTAAAGATCTGAAGGATGTGGATGTTAGGAAGATCCCTTATGCAGTAAGATGCTTTAGAAGGGATAAGATACATGAAGCTATTCAGCTCTTAAACGTTTTTGCCAGGTTGATAGGAGGTTTATTTGGCAGGGCCTAATAAAGAAGTGAAAAAAGCCAAGAAAGTTCTTAAAAAAAATAACAAGGTTTTTTTTTCTCGTGCATTTGATGAAGCTGAGTAGCTGAGAAAGAATTAAAGAGAGGTGGTGTTAAATGTTCTTAGATGTTTGCTATTGTCAGTCTGTCTAGGGGTGGGTGTGTCTGAAGTTGGGGTGGCCAGGTGGTTGGTTAAGTGTGCCTTGGGAGGGAGATGTTTTGTGGGATGTATAATTTATTAATTAATTGGAGCTGTTTGGAGGGATAAGTTTCTCTTTTGGTTTAATTTTTTCATGTGTGTGTTGGGTGTTTGGTTGTGAGAAGTGATGAGTTTAGTGGCTTCAACGAGTGTAGAGCTTCTTTTCTACTTTCAGGTGACTTCTTATCACCTTTCTCGTAATCTTCTTTTTTATTCTGATCCAATTTTATTTTATTACCCCCCCCAAAAAAAAAAAAACTCCACAAATGTGTTGAGTGTCATTACCTGCTAGGTCCAGCCCAGCCTGTACATCTTGTTAATTTCTATATGGATTCCAAGTTGTCGTATAATGGCAGCTAAATTTTCTTATCCAGTTTGGCCTGACCTAGAACTTGTCCAGGTCTATATGTCAAGCATAATGGCCTGGATGTGTGATGTGTCTAGGCAATTCTAATAGTCCTTGCACCCTATATCTGGCCTGAGCCCCAGAAAATGTGACTCCTCAACATTTTATAAACATTACTATACACTCACAATTCCATTAAAAGTCAATATTACAGTGCCTTGGTTTGCCTTGGTTTTTTTATTTTTATCCTGAAGAAAACTTCACTGTTAAGAACATTCTCCATCGTTGAAAAACATGCTTGTCAGTAATCACAAGAATCTAAAATACAATTTACAAGCTTCAGTTTGTCTGAACCTGGTGCCAGCAAAATGACGTGAACGCCTAGCAATGAGTGTCAACTTGAACTCCCTCCCAGATATTGAAAACTTATCCTGGTTTCACAAAGCACAAATTCATCATTAACCTATCATAGCACATGCTTGTAGCAATCAAACACGCACAAATAACTATGTGTATGCTCGTTCAAGCAAAGTCAGCATATGAAAATTGGCATATTCCAATGATTCCATAGAACAAATATAATAAAAGTTCTTCTATTGTATTAAAAATTACATAAATGAACTCAAACACCAGGAAAATTTCTTGATAAAGCACAATAAAGTGAAGCAATTAAACTCCAAATAGTTAGGACTTAGGAATAGGGATTAATGCTGAGTTGAGTTAAATTCAAAAGGCACAGGAAAGCGACTTGGGATGGCAAAGGATCACAAGGTTAAAATGCACAAATAAGATTTTTTATAAGAAATTCCAGGATGAGAAACAACCAAAAAATATGACAGCACTAAGGCTGTATATGAATAGAGCATTTCACAAGCTATTCAAGATCAACTCATGAAAAGCCCAATTTGTCTCGGTCTAAACTGTGCTTTGAGCCAAGTTTGAGACCTATGAAGCTCAACTGGTGAAGCTCAAAGCTTGATCGAGCTTATACTATATTTAATATTTTTAATTCTTAAATGTATAATAATAAATAATTCTTTGCATATATAATATTTTATATGTATAATTTTTAACATGTATAACTTTTTGTTTTTTATATAAATAATGGCTCACTGTTGATCTTGAGACAAGACAAGCTCAAATTCATGAGCATTTTAGTTGAGCTGAATTTGAGCCTATGTTTCTAGCTCAAGCCCAAACTCGAGCCTCACATTTTTCTGCCAAGCAGAGCTTGAAAGATAGATAATTGGCCCAGGTTGGCTCAAATCCACCCTGATAAAGAACTTAAAAAGTTTCATTACAGTAGGTTGACTAGAGGAACAGTTTTGCCAAATAATCTACCTGGATAAGTGGAACCTTGAATAGAACATTTTAAATCCAGCTACCTCTGTTTAATGAGCTTAATTTTTTTTATTCTTGGAAGGAAAATCATGAGTTTAAGTATTAATAAGTTCATCCTCAAATCACTATACCAAATACTTTACCTGTTTAAAAAAACCATAGACTAATGCAACTGTCCAAAGGGTATTCTTGAGGTGATTCCGAATTCCCCGAGTCAAGAACTCATTCCAGACAAACATTTTTTCATAGACTACCTGCCCTGTCTCATGATCACACAAGTTCTTTTGAAGACTATGCATAACATGGTATGAGTAGCTGAAAAAGAAGTCCTTTGTAAGATCCACTGTGCACAGGAGCTTCTTGTATCTATGTCATCAATAAGAAACAAAAAACATAATGCAAATGATTACTCACCATCCAAAGCTTAACCAAAGCTAGAACAGAAATATTAAACTGCACAAAAGTTATCTTTTAAAAGCTAAACCCATCATGGGGGTTGGGGAATTAACCTGCATTCTGAAAATCCTGATAACACACCTTGTTTCACTCATAATGTACTACTAATCTCACAACAGCAAGAATTTTAACTTGGAACATTTGCAGAAATCAAAATGGCACAAGGCCTTTAAGAAAATTGTAATAACTAAAAGGAGCACAATACTGAGATGTATAAATAGTTTATTTAATACATTCTCATCTTTCATTAAAACAACCCTAACCACAAGAAATACATAGGATCATCTTAAGGTGGATAGTTCAACAAAATTGATTTATATTCATGCAAGTGCAAAATTTGAATATTTACCCCCAAAACCAATATAGCTTGAAATACTATGAAAGTCTGACTTTCAGATTATTTCCCCCAACATGGTAAAATAGAAGCCAATAATAAAAGAATAACATCAGAAGACACTACACATCTGTACACATGGGGACAATGATTTACTCTTAGTACTAGTTCCTAAAGTCTTCTTCAGAAGTACCACTGATATTACACATTTACATGAAGAATGGACAAAAGACCTGTTCTCATTCTTAGAATTAGCCATATTAGGCTGCATAGAAGAATTCGAAAGTGGAATCATCTTGCTCTTGGCGATGGAATATACTGTATGGCCACAGATAGAACCAATCTGCCTTCTTTTTGTGATAAGCAGCATGTAGTAAGGTCCCAAAAATTTAATGAATCCTAAGCAAAGAAGCAGCAGTAAGTGACGCAATGTACATAAGCAGAGTCTATTAAGGTATTACAGAAGACTTTACTGCTGGATATTACATACCAACAATTCCATAGCAACTGGTGACAAACTTAAGTCCACCAGTGGACCTGTTTCCTTCATCAATTCGCTTCAACAGATCATAGCATTCTCCCTCTGTGTAAATTGTTGAGTCTTCACGAATATTTAGCTCAGAAGGCTCTAATCTGTCGATCTTTAATACTCTCCATAATGTTCTACTCTTGTCTCTTCCTATCAAATAAAATTTCTGAGGCATGGAAAATTTCAATTTGAAATGTGTAAATTTTCTGTGGGAATTTACAAACCAAAATGATATTAAACCATGGAAGACAAATGATGAAAAAATGCATAAACAAGTCATGGAAATAAATACAAAACATAGCCATGGTAAACCAAGTAATGCATGAGAAGATAAAGAAACAAAGGAGTTGTATCGGTGCCAGAAAATTTTCCCTAATTAGAAAAATCTCATTTCGACAATTGCCCTATTTTTAAAATAAAGAAATAAATGAACAGTGAACCGAGAAAATATATCACAATCTGCTTGGTCAGACGGAAGGGGAAAGGATAACAAGTTCGGTATCAACCACGAAAAGGAAAATACATTATACATCTCTGTTAAGGAGGAGTAACAAACACTATCATAACAATAAAATTGTAGATCCTCGGATAATATCCGCAACATCAAACAGGAGGAATGATTGAAAACGAATAAAATAGAACTTTAGAATTCGTAAAAATTAATTACCGATTGAGTCTCGTACAATCGAAATTTTTGCAGATAACCACTACCCGGGTCTGGCTCCTCTTTGATCCGAGCCTGTGGCTCGCTTTCTGACGCCATGGTTCGGATCCCGAGCCTGAGGCTCGGGAAGAATCAAACGTACATGCGAGAGAAAAGATCACCGGAATTCCAAGCTCCGAAACCCTAACATAGCGCTAGGTTGTTTCAAATATAGCATTTTCTTCCGGCCACCTCACGCCGTATGAAATCCATTTTCCTCCATTCACAAGCAAATGCGCGGGCGACGGAGAGAACGAACTACCCAAGAGTTAACGCGGCGAAGATGGATGTAGAACCGATGAAGAAGCTTTTAATCTCTAAAAACCAAGCTTGTGAAATTGAAAAAAGAAGATTACTGAAATACGGAAGCTGAAAATTAGAAAGGAACAGAAAAGAAAGATATTCAAAACTAGTTGAACTCTAGATAGAGGTTATCTGATTTAACGCACACAGACACGGAGAGATCTAGAAAAATTAAATACATCGGAAAAATCAAAACATTCTTTGCCTGAGATAGAAGGAGAGGTTGAAGCAGCGAGGGAAAGAGTGGAATAAAAGACTCGAAAAGTCTGGAAATCGATGGTTCTTCTTGTTCTTCAGAGAACCAGAGAGAGAGAGAGAGAGAATAATAAGCTCAGATCCTCAGAGCGAAGGAAAACCACAGCTACGATGACCGCTCAATCCACACAAAAAAAACAAAAGTAGGAAAATTGATTTTTCCCAAGGGCTTTTTATTAGCAAGATCGAAAAAAGGAAAAGAAAACGTGAATATTAAAAAAAAATCAAAGTTCTCAAGAATTTGGAGCTGGATTCCAGCAGTCCAGCTTTTATTGTTCTTCTACGGTGATAAGGATTTTGGGGTAAAAAAATAATTTTCTTTGAATTAAAAAAGAACGAAAAATTCGGAAAACAGTAAATTAAGAGAAAAATAGGATAGGTGAGGGAGGGAATAAGGAAGGAAATTGAGTTTTGACCAATCAAATTGATCTTTCAAAGGATTAAACCGCAACCGGTAATTACCGTTTCTCTCTCTCAATGTTCAATAATATTTGAAGATTGAAAAGTTGTGAGTCGGTCACTCGAGCGTGTTATTTTCATAATAAACGAGTCATGCCGCTTTGAGGGTCTCTGTCTCTTGAGTCATGAGTTGATTGGGCTCATGGTAGATTCATTATTCATACACCATGTATCTCTCATCGTTGAGATTTGACAGAGGTTCTACACTTCCACCTAATAAATAATAATAATAATAATTGTGGATTATGGTAAAATCAAATCATGACACTATAATCTATTCTTCAGTGACTCATTATTTTCCATTTTTTATTTTCTTTAAAGCACTGCCATTGAATGTGTGGCTAAGATCAATTAATCAAGTCAATTTATTATTTTTTTCTCGGCCTATAAGTAAATCATTGTGGGTCCCATCAGGGGGGCCAAGCGTTGGATTGGAGGGCCGTTTGATTCACATTTTATGTTTTGACTCTACCAACAAGCGGGTTGCCCTTCCAATAAATCTCTTTCTTAAAAAAAAAATATATATATATATATATATATATATATGTTTTCTAGTTAATATTAAGATGATACATAAAAAGGAAAAATTCCTTTTCTATAAAAAAGTTAACAGAAAAATAAATTCGGAGGATCCTACCCTCCTATCATTATTTAAAGTTGAAGATTCTAATACCTGTTTTGCTACATGCATATTGGCCAGTTTGGGAGTTTCCTCATTTGCCTCCCAAGGATTGCTTAAAAGTTGCTAATTAGAATCGAAGTCGGAATTATATGTCTCACTGAGTAAAGTTTCCTGAATAATGAATTTGCGATTATTTCTAAAGAATTCAAAGAATTTATTCATTCAACATATCAGATGCAATAAGTTCATGGAAGAAATGTGACTCAGCAGATCAAAGCGTTGCTTAGTTCCATTGTCAATTATTAAATAAATGTTTTGTATGATATCTTCTTTGAACCTAAAAATAATGATAATAATAATAATATTTTTTACAGTTAAGCACTATTAGATACCTTTAAGGTCTCTTCTTTTGCATGTAAATATGCATGGAAAATTTGATCAATGGGTAATTTTTTCCCATTGACCAATACCTTTACTTTTTTGGGTAAAACTTATATCTCTCTTAGGTGAATAAGTGACTTTTTCAATTGAAAAAAACTTTTACAAAATAAGATGGGATCATTTTACCCATTTTAATAATTATTTTTTATAAATAGAAATGTTATTTTATTATTTACTGGAAATCCTAAAAATCAAAAAAAATATGGATAAGGGTAAGTTGTACTGTTTCAAACAAACAAGGACTAAGCACCACATAAATTAAATAGTGAATAAACACTCAAAATGGGAAACATAAAAAAATACAATTTTCTCAATATTCACACAATCTGAAAATAACATTTATTTGATAAATAGTTTGATTAAACAACACTTGGAACTTCATAACGTCTATGTGGCAAGAGATGTTATTTTTCAGATAAGCCTTAATGAAACCAGACACCATTAAAGTAAAAATGCTTTAAATGTAACGACATTCATACTTCACAGTTATATAAATTCACTCGGAATCTCCTACCCACAAGAATCTTATACATCCCTACCCATTAATGACAAGAGACAGTAGTATTACGTGGAGAGAAATATGAGAAGAATTTGTGGGCAGGAGATTTGAGGTTAAATAAATTATGATGAGGGCGGATTTGGCCCTCCAATGATATCATGACACATGACATCTTGAAATAAATTCGGCATGTATATTCCGACACTCCCATGATTCTTTGAAGTTGATCCACGTATCAAATGTTTCGGAGGGTGGTCAACGTGCATGTTGTTTACTCTAATAATTTCGGACCAGTTAGGCACGATCTCCCATAAGTCTCGGATGCAGTGCATGAGGCCCACACTGAACAATGCCTATATAAAGGCACCAACCCCAAAGACCCAGAGAGGAGAAAAAAGAGAGGTACGCATGATTATTCTACTCACTAGCAGTCAAGCTCTCAAGCATTCAACTCGCATTCACAGCATAAGTACTGACTTAAGCATTGGAGCGACCTTGCCAGGTTAGCTACCCTGGGTTCTCTAATTCACTGTTTTGCATATCGGTATAGCTCGCTGCCCAATTGGAGTTCAGATTGCCTTCCAGTTAGGAGTAGCCAGATTGCGCACCATCAATTGGTGTCGTCTGTGGAAAACGCTACAATAAGCTAAGTTCTACCTTCTAAAAGGCTAAATCCTCTTCTTCCAGAAAGCTAAGATCTCACATTTTAGAAACTAAAGTTATCACTTTCTAATTTTCATTTTTTATGAACTCAATGGCACTTTTGAGCATCATCAACACGCAGAATGAATACCGATTACCGGGGGACAAAAACACCTATGATGAACCTGGAGAACTCCCCTGTGACAAGCAGATAAGTCCAGGCCAAACTCAGCATCCCCAGTGCCCTAGATAAATACACTGCTACTGTATGTAAACACCCCTCTCCCCGCGGTAAAGCCATCAGTGGTTCTCGTCGGGATTGAAGCGTAGCAGTTCTATGAGATGAAGTATGAATTTTCATATTTGTGCATGGGAGAAGCCCGATGTATACAACAGCAAAACATCATCAACTCATCCTCAATAGCAGTTAGCCAGGATGAGGCCTCATCAGCCCTGTTTCGCGAGGTCGCTTCTACAAGACGAGCTCTTCGTGGCTTCCACGGGAATTGACAGCCAACAGACTGCATGGACGCCCTTGCAGGTTGAGCCTTCCAAGTCTCCCGTACGAGCTGGTGACCTAAAGTCAGTAGTGTTGCCCCCATAGGTCGAGCTCCCAATGGCTTCTTGTAGGAGTGGATGACCGACGTCACTAACGAGGCTGATGCAATGCAGTCGTGGCCTTTGACTGCCGACTCACACCGGCAACAACATTATGCCCTCACAAGGGGGGCAAAACATGTATGTTGTGGTCTCGCAAGCACTCACCCAAGAAGATAATCCCATGGGATGACATAGAAGCAGCCATATGAGAAGTTACTACAGAATGACCACCCGCTTAGGCGGAAAGGTTAGGTTGCACGTCGGCTAAATAAGGATAAGGAGAGTGGACCGCGAATCGCTCCCAGAGCCCAAGGGCTAAGGTGCCGAGCTGGTAAAAGACCTCAGTACCACATGAGACCCTGTCGCCTCTTCGGCATGGGTAAATAAAAAAGTAGCTTGTGCGTAGGTAGGATGGGCACATACCCTACAATGTCTGTTCACTTCGGCGTACATTGAGATCGGGTTATTCCTATTAGAGCCTAGCTCGTAAGCCCGACACTTCGTTAGTAATCCACACTTATCCACGTCAGCTCGGGCATATACCTAGTCGCCTCTTCGGCATGGGAATAAAAAAAATAGTTTGCGTTTAGCCTCATCGGTGTGCATACAATTTGGCACCTCGGGGTAATCCACACTTAGAAAACTTTTACGCAATGGAGTGGAGGACAAAATACATCACCTATTTGGCATACCAGTTGGGCACCATGACAAACGCAAACTTGGCTGATCTCTTCACAGTAGACCTCTATCTCGGTTTTAGGCTCCGCGTCGAACTCATTGGCTACTCTTTTAAGAACCAGTTTGAGTGACACTGCGTCGAAGTCTACCTAGGTGGAGCGACCTAATAAAGCAGTCACGCAGTTAGAACCACCATTTGAGGACAGCATGGTAAGCTTCGCTCTCGAGGTAATGGTCGGATTGCGGAACCCCTTTATGGTTACATCCCTAATAAGGTAGATGTCCTCGGGGTACCTGCTTCACCTCTCATCGAGAGGATGAGTTCGCTCTCGTGCCCCGAGAATCAAGACAGTGAGGTCCTGCGTAAGGCAGCAAACACTCGAACTATTCCGATCTGAGAAGTAAATCAAACCAACGCTTGCGACTACGAACTGATCGAATCAGTCATCCTAGGCCAAAAGGAGCAATTGATGAGGCGGATTTGGCCCTCCAATGACATCATGACACATGGCATCTTGGAACAGCTAGTTGACACACACCACCTAAGTAATGACTTGGAGTCCCAAATTGTGGTTTCTCTTCGCCCAGACCTGAAGACCTGCCTTCACCGCCAACCTGGCGACCTCGACGACAACTCAGGTCGGCTAGAAGCACCTCGTCCAGGGCCGACCTGCAGCACCTCATCACTGGCCGAAGTGACCTCGATGCAATGAGCGATCTCCCTCGAGAGGTCCAGGTGGCGACTTGCGAGACGTGCTTGCCAACAAATTCGGCATGCATATCCCAACACTCCCACGATTCTTGGAAGTTGGCCCACGTACCGAATGTTCTGGAGGGTGGTCAACGTGCATGATGTTTACTTCCAAGGATTTTGGACCGATTAGGCACGATCTCTCGGAAATCTCGAATGCGGTGCGTGAGGCCCAGACTGAACAATGCCTATATAAAGGCATCAACCCTAAAGACCTAGAGAGGAGAAAAAAGAGAGGTACGTGTGATTATTCTACTCACTAGCACTCAAGCTCTCAAGCATTCAGATCCCATTCACAGCATAAGTACTGACTTAAGCAACGGAGCGACCTTGCCGGATTAGCTACCCCGGGTTCTCTAATTCACTGTTTTGCAGATTGGTCCAACTTGCCGCCTAATTAGAGTTCGAATTGCCTTCCAGCTAAGAATAGCCAGATCACACACCATCAAACTACAGATTGAACTGGAAAATACTAAACTTCTACCGTTGCCGACGATAGAGGCGATACGCGCGCTTGGGGGTAGAACCCACCAACAGAAGTTTGATAGCAGATTGGCAATCACTTTCAATGATAATAGCATTTGAGGCCCAATGACTACGTGAACTGTAAGGCTGAGAAGACGGCCAGAGTTTCAGCTTCTTGCATTGAGCAAAGAGAGACGGACAGCTATGGCCCATCCAAAAAGCTCCGTGGTGATCTCATATCATGATTTCTGTACCTGGCGCTAAATTTAAAGTAGCTTCATCAGCGTTGATCTCCACCCTAGTTTCTGGTAGTGGTATCCATCTAAAAAGAGAAAGAGAGAGAGAGGGAGATGCAACTCTAGCAATCAGATGAATTCCTCTGGGATTGTTTGTAATAAGACTTAGAGTTCATTGAGCTGGGCGTTGGCACTTAATATAACATCCCAACGGGTAAAGTCTCTACTTTCCTACATCTCCATTATATTTGAAAGCCTAAAAACACCACGAATCCTCACTATATGGGGGCTTGATATATTACAATTTGAGGCAATAGATATCAGCATGATTAGATAATGTGGCAAGATTTTCCAGAACTAGGAGCATCCCATTTAAGAAGCACCAAAGGAAGGCATGGACACGTGGAGGTAAATGTTTGATGTTGCGTAAGAATTGGGATTTGCTTTCATACTGATCTCACCACTACATCTTCTGATATATTAGAAACATTTTTCATCAATAATAAATACAAATATGAGAGATATTTCTGATGTGTGGCTACCGACCAGAACATACTGTGAGGTGGGTGTGAGGGATAGAGATCCGGATTCCTTCCGAAAATCCTTTCATGTGATCAGAATCGGGACCGTTGGCAATTGACTGCAAGAAAGATGGAGCAGCACTATTTCTCACTATGATTTAATTCATAATTAAGCTGATCAGTTGTAAGAGAATAATTTCTCAGTACTGTTGGTCTTGATCCAAACTATCAAATCCTCATATATAGCCATCAGCAAGTAAACGAGAAGGATTCCAGAAGATTGCATGCAACTTGAAACGAGAGAGTTGAGCGAATCACCGCGGTTCGACCAGCATGAGTGAAGCACTTCATCGGAACTTCTCAATAATGATCAAATGTAAATATCCTGGTGTGAATATACCTTTGTTTACTTATTTTTCTTTCTGTTTTTTTATGAAAAATTGTAAATATCCCAAGTCTTCACACTTCGCTTGGAAAATTTAATTATTTCTAAATTTAAATTATCATAACAGATAATTTAAAAATTCTTTTAATTTCCACCCTAACAAATAAAAACAACGAAGTAGCATTACTGTTATTATTGTTAATAATCAATGGAGCCACGCTATGATGAGGCCCTGTCACCACTTGCATGTCCCTCGTCCACGGTCCACGAGACGATTTGCATTTTGCACCCACCATCACTTAAAGTTATGTTTGGTTTGATGGAGAATGAGAAAGAAAAAACGAAAGATAAGAAAAGGTTGTTAATAAATTTTGTAAAATTCTAAAATTTTTGTATTTATTTTTTCTCTTGTTCATGATGTGCGCCCACTATTACAACTTCAAATTTTTGTTTTTCTTTTATCCTCTGTCAAACCAAACATAGTGTTTAGGCTTCAGCGTCCACCATCGAAATTAATTAAGGAGCTATTATTTAAGGGGAAGATGGCCCTCTAACTGCATTTGACATTTCTTATTTTAAGGATTTAATCATTTTTTGGCAGTTAAAAACTCAATGTTTGTAGAAAAACTGTAAAAAAGGCAATAAGTTATTAAAGGCTCTCGTGTATGTATCATTGTATGACCCTTTTTCAATTTTTAATCTTTTTAACAATCTGAGATTCTGAGTTAATCGGCCTTTACACACGTGGCAAAACCCAATTATAGCTGAAGACTGGAGACACCTATTGGGTGACGTGGCTATATAAAGACTTTTAATTCTAAGCACGTGAAGTAGATAGCCACACCACGTCATCACGTCTCATCAGTAGGATAAGTCATACAATAGTATGCACACCTATGCCAACAATAATTGAGATTTCCAAGTGTGGAGACGTTTATCCAATGTGAAAAAGGCCTTTTCCTACTTTTCCCCCCGAGATTATGTCTGGTTTTATATAATGTTCAATGAGAAAAAAAAAAAGAAGTTTCTTTTTTTGTTTCTCTTACTTTCAATCAAACCAAATGCCTAGATAACCAACATTTCTTCTAAATGGTAAATTTGTTTCGGCTTTGATGCCTAAGATGACTCTCTTCTTAATCTTCACACGTTTGAACAAAATGTTTTTACAATCATGAATGTTTTTATTTTCATTTACTTTTGAAATTAGTGTCACATTAACCAAAAAACAAAAACCATGTTTTTGAATTGTGTTTTGTTCTAAAAAGCAAAAACAAAAGTTGGCTTTGTTTTATAAAACAATTAAGTAGGTTGTTTGGCATTGATGTCGTTGCTTCAGAGATGTTTTATGAGAAAATGATTTGTTGTTGCGCGATCTGATTACTCCCAGTTGGAGGGCGATTTGGCTTCCAATCGAACAGCGAGTTGGATTTATCTGCAAGACAGTGGATTAGAGAACCCGAGGTGGCTAATCCGACGAGGTCACTCCGATGCTTAAGTTAGTGTACTGTAATGCGAGCTGAATGCTTGAGAATTTGAGAGCTTGAGAGCTAGAGAGTAGAGTAATCACGCGTACCTTTGCCTTGAGGTTCCTATCTTTATATATTGGAGTAGTTGTGGGACTCATGAAAGAGCTCTGAGATTTCCGGGGTGTGGAGATAGAGTTCGTTCCGCTTCTGAAGGAGCATAAGGCTTATCATTCCACTTCCGACTCTGGCAGAGTTGGGATGAGTTCTCATCATGATCTCAGAAAAGTCGGGATCTGTTACAATCATGAATGTTTTTATTATCATTTACTTTTGAAATTATTGTCACATTAACCAAAAAACAAAAACCATGTTTTTGATTTGTGTTTTGTTCTAAAAAGCAAAAACAAAAGTTGGCTTTGTTTTATAAAACAATTAAGTAGGCTGTTTGGCATTGATGTTGTTGCTTCAGAGATGTTTTATGAGAAAATGATTTGTTGTTGTGCGATCTAACTACTCCCAGCTGGAAGGCGATTTGGCTTCCAATCGAGCAACGAGCTGGATCTATCTGCAAGACAGTGGATCAGAGAACCCGGGGTGGCTAACCCGGTGAGGTCGCTCCGATGCTTAAGTTAGTGTACTGTAATGCGAGCTGAATGTTTGAGAATTTGAGAGCTTGAGAGCTAGAGAGTAGAGTAATCACGCGTACCTTTGCCTTGAGGTTCCTATCTTTATATACTGAAGTAGTCGTGGGACTCATGGAAGAGCTCTGAGATCTCCGGGGTGTGGAGATAGAGCTCGTTCCGCTTCTGAAGGAGCAGTATGTGGATAAGGCTTATCGTTCCACTTCCGACTCTGGCAGAGCTGGGATGAGTTTTCATCGTGATCTCAGAAAAGTCGGGATCTGTTACCTCATCGTGATCTTGAGAGATTCGCGATCTGTTAGCTCATCGTGATCTCGAGAGATTCGGGATCTGCTGGAGAAACCTCTGGAGTCGGTTATGTGGCGATTCGGGTTGTTAGCCCCGAGCTGATACTTCGGTTCTTTGATTCCGAACTGGATTGGATGCCGAGGTGAGTTTTAGGCCGTGGTGGCTGAATACCTGAGCTCCAAATGTTGCGAACTAGGCTTGCTAGGCTAAGCTGTCATCCCTTAATCAAGTCGTGTCCACGTGTCCCCTTCTCGCTAGGTCGGGCCAAATCACTCCTTCATCAGATGCTATATGCATGAGGATCTATTGCACCGTTTTCTTAGAAAATGACTCCTTTTTTTTTTGTTTGGCATTAACGCTGCCACATAGACTGTATCCTTAGAAAACAAACTGGTTTTGTTTGTTACTAGTGTTGTATAACTGTTTTCAACATTAGTCTACATTATCCAATGCCCAAGATGATGCCATGTCATTGCACCGCTAAGGCATGGTCTGGAGCAATGTTTTTTATGAAAAAACAATGCCAAATAAGAGGTCATTTCTGAAGCACCATTTTTCTAATGTGGCACCAATGTGACATCGTTTTCTCAAAAAACGGCATCAATTCCAAACACCACCTAATACTTTTAAAATCATTAAAGGGTTTCTTCAAATGTGAATTGTTTTTCTTGTTGCTTGTTATAAAAATAAAACAAAACCTAGCTAATTTGAAAACAAATTGATTCTGAAACACATAAAATGTATGTTTATTCTAATGACCATTATTTTTTATAGCTCTAAAAATATGTATTGCTTTTTGAAACAAAACCAGCTTGTTTTTGCCCTTCCAAAACATTTTTTTTCTAATGTTATAATTTCAAAAACAAATGAAAACAAAAACATTCATGTTATAGAATACCCTCTAAGACTTAGTTTGAAAAGAGTACAAATACAAATATGTAAAGTGCAAAACTATGTATTTTTGTATTATTTTGTATATATTTATACTGTACATATTTGCATTTGTACTCCTTCCAAACTAATCCTATGAAAAAAAAATGATAGACAAAATCAATTTGTATACTATAAATATTATTACATGCAGATACATAGCTGTCCAAAAAAATGGTGCAGGCCAACTATAGATATTATATGGTTTGCTTTTGGGAAGAAAACAGAATACCCCCAAATGGGATTGTAAGGGGGATATACAAGGCTTCAGATATGCTCCATTTGTTCTTGTACTTCCTTGAATCAGATGTCTCCTAATATCTTTTATCTATATCTATATATAATAAAGGGCGATGCAATTAATTACACACAGCAAATAAATTATAAGGTAATTAGTGATGCCAAAGGAGGTGGAGATGCTGAAATCAGAGCTATGAATTATGGGCTAGCTATAGCATATAGAGGAATCAAATATGCTTAATCTATTTTCAGATGCAAATTAAGGGGGTGTTTGGGAACATACCATTTTTTGGGAGGCATTTTTTCAAAAAAGGTGTTGTATAAGCATGCTGTTTCTCAGCTTTTCTATTTGGTATCATTGCTATTGCTGCCATATAGGCATCTTTTAATGCCACATCTGTACGCCATTGATAGTAACTGCAGAAAAATAGGAAAACATTAAAATGGGCATTTTTTCAGATCACACGTTTTCTGATTTCCAAGATATAGTCTGAGAAAACATTTTTCGAAAAAACAGTCAATCAAACAACAGGCATTTTTTCAGAAAATAGATTTCTGATATGGTGCTGATGTGACACGTTTTATGAGGAAACATCATGATCCCAAACACTACTAAGAAACAGATTTACAGAATACTAGCAAAAAGCAAAGCGTCATGCAAATTAAGAAGCTGGAGATCATTTTACACTCTACCTCGTGATACTTTGTTTTCTTGAAAAAAAATTATATGGATGAAAAAAAGTTTTAATATTATGTATTATTTTTAAATCTGATACTATATGGGAGTGTCTAGCTTTCTGCATGTTTTGGTGAAGCCAATAGCCTAATACTGTTGTATCATCATGGCTATTAGCTACTAATTTGTTTTGACATAATGCATGGAAATTTGTTTTGTAAAGTAAAAACAAAAACGCATCTGCATTATTTGAGCCTGTCTGTGACTGTTAGACTTCGATTGATCTCGATTAATAGGGGTGAGCATTCGGTTTTAAAAACCAATTTAACTATATGAAAGACCGAATCGAAACCGAAATACGTGAAAATCGAATAAATCGAATTGAATTTTTTTTTTCGGTTATTTCGGATATTTTTATTAAAATCGAAATTATTTAATCTGAAAATGCAACACAGCACAAGAAGATGCAGGTGGCCAATGCCACTCGGCAACGATTCAATGCTGTTCGTGTTCGGAGCCTGGAGCGCAGGAAGAAGAAGAAAATGACCAAAGCATGGAGGAGCTGAACTGAGGAAGATGCAGCAGCAGCCGCGGCACTCGGCAACGAGTCAACGGCGTTCATGACTTCGTGTTCGGTGTTATTGCTGGTGCTAGGTGAGCCGGTGACGTCCGGCAGCCGCGACAGTTGAAGAGACGAACTGAACTGACATCCGGCGGCCGCGACAATCAAAGAGACGAACTGAGGAAGATGCAGCCCAGCAGCGGCAGTCGGGAGCCACGGCATTCGGCAATGAGCCAACGCCGTTCGTGACTTCATGTTCGGTGTTCCTGTTGGTGCTGGGTGAATCGGTGACGTTCGGCAGCCGCGGTAGTCGAAGAGACGGGACTCTCGACTCTGGTCTGGAAGACTGGAACGGGAAGAGTGGAAGAGGAAGACGAGAGTCCCGAGACGGCAAGATGCTTAGAGTCTTTAGTCTCTGACTCTCTGAGTCTCTCTCTCTGACTCTTACACGCCCGTACGTCAACTTTTCACTTTTTTTTTTCACTTTTTTGTATAACACGTTTTTTGCAGTTTAACTTTATCATGATTCTTAATTTATTAAATGTTAATATAAAATTAAATTATAAATTATAATATTAAATTGGTTTTTTCGATTAATCGATTTATGAAATTTGATAACTGAAACCGAAAACTAAAATTCAAAAAAATCGAAAAAAAAATCAAATCCGACCGAAAAACCGATTAAGCCGAAACATTTAAACCCAAACTAAAATTTCGATTCGATTTTTCGGTTTTAACCGAATTATGCTCACCCCTATCGATTACAATACTGATCGCGACTAAACCTTTTCCTTAGCCTCTGGAATGGAGGAAAAAAACAACCAAGAAACAAAAGTGGCTCCAGTCACGTCTTATGAGTTACGACCAATATCTCTCTTCATGTTTCTGATATTTGGTTAGCTATCACTTCACCATAAACCACTTGATTAGGTGTGAGAATTCCAACAAAACGAGACCATGTTGATTGTTGGCCATAAAACAGTAACAGTAAAAACTGAACAACAATTTTCGATCAGTACTAGTTATTACACATTACACACAAGGTTAAATTTATCGGACTGCATCTTGGTTCGTTTTTTTAGTTTTTTTTTCACTGTTTCATAGGGATCGGTTTGAAAGCCTTTTTACCCTTTGAACCAGGTTAAATTCGAGAAACCACGGATATGATACGTATCAGCCAAACCCATAACCTCATTAGTTATCCGAATTCAAGTTTCAAATTAATCAGGGAAAGGGTGATCCAACATACTATGCACAAAATGCTAACCACGGCAAGGAACATTTCTCATGAATAATAATCAAAGGTACAAGAGATGTTATCGATGCGTGGCTATTGTACTCACCGTCTTGTGGTTAGTAGATATTAAACCTTATCGTTAAGCTAGATCATTTAATTTTACAAAAATATTCTTTGATCTCTGCTGACTTCTTTGGATCAAAATATGGAAAATTTATTAATCAAAGGAGAGCAATTAAGGCGGGAACCAACCCTCATAGTCAGTGACTCAGAGTCCGGCACATATATTCTTTATAAAAAAAAAAAAAAAAACGTCCGGCACATATACAAATCAAGAGGGAAACAATTCATTAAAGCAACCAAAAAAAAACCTCTTAGCTCATAAAGCACTCTCACGAGCAACTCTATTCCCGGACTCCTCCCTCGGGGTGTGTTGACCGTCTCTCTTCTCTCGGGTGAGACCTGACATCTGAGAGGAATCAGTGCTTGTAAGGTCTCTTCATTTCGATGGGGGATCAGTTGATGTTCTGGTTAACTCAAAGGTGATTTGAGTTCTGACTATGATGGGGCCCTAGGTGCCGAGGTGGAACCGGCTGCTAGTTTGGTTGCAGTGGAGGGAATTGGTGTTGATATTGCTAGTAGAGGTAATATTGTTGGTACTGCTAAAACTGTTGGACCTGCTGCATCTAGATCTGAATGGCCCGGACGCACTGAACAAGGTCGTGAAACTGGGAACTCTTCACTCCAGGAGAAACCACGGAGGGCTCAAAGAAAGTTGCGCCTATCAGAGAACCCGGGGTGGCTAATCCGGCGAGGTCGCTCCGATGCTTAAGTTAGTATGTTGTAAATGCGAGCTGAGTGCTTGAGAGTTTGAGAGCTTGAGTGCTAGAGAATAGAGTAATCACGCGTACCTTTGCCTTGAGGTTCCCGTCTTTATATACTGGAGTAATCGTGGGTCTCACAAAAGAGCTCCGGGATCTTCGGGGTGTGGAGATAGGGTTCGTTCCGCTTCCGAATGAGCAATACGTAGATAAGGCTTATCGTTTCACTTTCGACTCTGGCGGAGCTGGGATGAGTCATCATCGTGATTTGCTAGCTCATCGTGATCTCGGAAAAGTCAGGATCTCTTAGCTCATCGTGATCTCGAGTAACTTGGGATCCGTTGGAGATACTTCTGGAGTCGGTTACGTGGCGATTCGAGTTGTTAGCCCCGAGCTGATACTTCAATTCTTTAGTTTCGAACTGGATTGGATGCCGAGGTGCCTCGACACCGAGGTGAGTTTTAGATCGAATTGGCTGAATGCCCAAACTCCAAATGTTACGAACTAGGCTTGCCAGGCTTAACTGTCATCCCTTAGTCAGGTCATGTCAATGTGTCCCCTTCTCGCTAAATCGGGCCAAATCACCCTTCATCAGTTAAACAATATCAATAATAATTGACGAAAATGCATTTACATTTGTATTAGCATTCGATCAATGCACATGGGACATATTATTTTGTTCAAACTAATTAAAGCAATGACCATGTGAGACAACAATACTTATGTTGTCACACCTATTAGTTATTACAAATACATCAGCTTTGCTTTGTATTTGTGTTAATTTGCCGTGGGTTTTTGTGAACTATTTTTTGCTTAATAATGGTTATTGATATATAATTCATTAGGCTGTGTTTGGTTAATTCGAAAGAAAATATAGGTCAGGGAAAGGAAGGAATAAGGGTAGAAAGGGAAATGAGTGGAGGATGAAAGGGGTTAGAGTTTGAATAAAAGAAATCAAATTTCTTTTTGGTAGCATAAATTCTTCACCTATCTATAATCTATCTATATATAAATCGTCATTTAAAATCTGCATCCATTATTGGGCCCGAGCCCGGCCCTAATAAAAAGCCCGAAGCCCGAGCCCGAGCCCGAAACCCGACCTAATACAAAAAATTAGAAATTTCCCTATTCAATAATCAATATAAATCAGAATTTATTTACATTAAAAAAATATATAAATTCAAAATTTATTTATATTAAAAAATATATATAAAGAAGGGAAAGAGGATGTGGAGAAGAAGAATTTGGTTGGAAAAAGAAGGGAAAGAGGTGAAAAAAAGAGGGGTATTCAACTAGGTTTTCTAGATTTATTTATAGGTCGGGCCGGGCCGGGCCGGGCTCGGGCCAGGCTATTTTGGCAAATCCTGAACCCGGCTCGAATTTATTACAGGCTGGGCTTTTTGGCCTGAGGTTAAGCCCGCGGGCCTATATACCTGTTCAAACCCGTTCGAGGACCGGGCCGGCCCGTCAGGCCACCGGGCCCATGAACAGGTCTACCCAGGACCCAGGGCCCAGGGGGGGATTGTGAATTTTCAGCACCACGATATAATTAATATTAGTCATCTTTCCTCAATTATATAGCAAGAGCTTGCTGCCAAGATCTACTAATTAACTATTTTTATTTTTCTTATTTTGTTCCTTATTCCCTTTATTTTCCAATCCCTTTAAAATTTTGTGTTAAACTAAATTTTTAGAAAAAAAAACATCAAACATAGGGATATTTAATCTCACTCTCACAATCAATTGAGTTCCCTTTTTATTAGTAAATTGAATCTAACTACTCCTTTGTAAAATATAGACATCTTTTTAAAACCAGTCTGTGCAATCTCCTAGTTGATTTAGATAAAAAAAAAATTACTGTAACCAAAATTATTTACAGAATTGAGAATTCATTCATAATTGATAAAATATTGGTGGTAATTTGGTAAAGAAAAATGACATGCAACGGTTTAATTTACGCTATAATGGAAATATTTATCCCCTTGACTTCATACAATTCTTATAATTTATTTATTTGTCACATATAAATTAACAAAAGAAAAGGAACATGATTTAGGTAAATCCCATATTTTGATAATTAGGGGGGGGGGGGCACTGTTCTACTAATTCTTAGTTAAGGGCTGTCCAGGAATAAAAACAAATTCCTAGTTAAGAAAAGATTTATAAGATAGAAAAAACATGCATTAGTTTTCGTTGTAGTAAAGGACATAATTGTCTTTTCCTTCATTAGAAAAAGATCAAGGAATGTGCAATAATCACTCCTCCATACAAAATAATCTATACTACTTTAAAAAGTACGAATGGCCTCAAGAGTATTTCTGAAATTTTCTAAGGACAATATTTATCCCTTTATATTTAAATTTAATGATAAAAAATGAGGGCAAATAGGGTAATTGGTTCTTGATATTAAATGAGTTGAAAAGAGATAATTTAAAGATATTCAATGCATTCAATCATCTCTCATTAAATCCAACATTTAAGTTATTAACTTGCATTCATGTTCATTGAATCATATATTTAAGTCATTTTTATTTATTCTCATCATTAAGTTCTATTAATTAAATTCATTCATAATAAATTAATAATTCCGATAACATAAAAGCTTATACCTTTAAAATCTACCTAGCAAAAATAGTGTTTTCATCTAAGTGGTGGTAAGAAATTAAATCATTCTGGGTCAAATGGGTTAATCCAAGTTGCCAAGATTAAATAATAAAATTAAAAAATAGAAATTAAAAAATTAGGACATTTTTAACATATATATTAAACAATAATAAGTATGATAATAAGAAATGTTTTTGTTAATGATGAAAATGGAATATCAAATTTAAAACTAATTGAAAATAAAAATATTTTCCTATTCTCTCTCATTAAATCCTATATTTAAAATATATTTTTCTCATCATTAAATTCTTGTAATTAAATCCACAATATTAATTTTAATAGTATAAAAATAAATATTTTGAAAACAAAATCATTTTCTTCCCTCCCGGTGGTGGGCAAGCAATTTGACCATTTGGGGTCAAATGGATTAATAAATAATGCCATAATTAAATAATAAAAAATTAAGATAAATAACTATGAAATGTAAGAAGTATTTTTATTAATGATGAAAATGGAAAGCCAATTTCAAAATCTACCTACAAATTAAATGATGTCATAGTCAAATAATAAAATTTTTAATAATAGAAAATGCAAAGAATCACACAAATAAAAAAAAAAGATAAGAGAAAATTTTGGGCACATATCTAATGTTTTATATTTATAAAAAATAAAATATTGGGTACATCTCTAATATTGTACATTCATTATATTGAACAAAAATAAGTTTTATACATCATAAATAATTTTATCAATGATGGAAA